AATAAGCCTGCACTGTCCCACCTGCCCCTGAGACCGTGCTTCCATTATGTCTGGGCCTTGTGAGACGTTTACACCGTTTTCTCACCGACGTCTGTTCACTTGGCCGCCCTCGGAGAAGGATGTTTTTCGTTAACGAAAATAGCCCAAGATGCTCCGGACCACCAGGACAAAGGTTGGCATGAAAGCGTCTCTAAAGAGTGGCCTCCACTGGACATCCCCTTGCAGAGGGGTCTCAGGGAGGAGACGAGCCAGTCAGGGTGCGATGTAGCAACGATAAAAAATACAACTTTCCTCTAGTTCCTAAATGCTTCCTCCTCCCCCCACTATCATGATAAGAATTCTACCTTGCATGTCTGGCTAGACCAGAGGATGTACACTGGTACAGATAGGAACTGGAAACACAGGGAATCCAGGGTGGATGATCCCTTCATGACCAGTGGTGTGAGTGGCGATACTGGGAGGGTAGAGGGAGAATGGGTAGGAAAGAGGGAACCGATTACAAGGAATTATATGTGACCTCCTCCCTGGGGGACAGACAACCGAAAAGTGGGTGAAGAGAGACGTCGGACAGGGCAAGATATGACAAAATAATAATTTATAAATTATCAAGGGCTCATGAGGAAGGGGGGAGGGGGGAGGGAGGGGAAAAATGAGGACCTAAAGCCAGGGTCTTAAGTGGAGAGGAAATGCTTTGAGAATGATGAGGGCAATGAATGTACAAATGTGCTTTACACAATTGATGTGTGTATGGATTGTGATAAGAGTTATATGAGCCCTTAATAAAATGATTTAAAAAATGTTTAGATTGGGAATGTTGTTCATAATTTCAGACTTATGACTAAAGAGTTATTTTCCCTTTCATTAAAATATCAAACGAAAAAAAACAAACAAAACAAGCGTGGCCTCAGCCACTGTGGCGCTCATGGTCTTTCACTCTGTTTGAGCACAGACTGACTTTGATCTGGAGACTTTTTACGCTTTTCTAAGCTCCCAACAGAAACTCCTCTGACAGCGATGAAGTGGAGATGCAAGAATATATCCTGTGTGTAGTGTAAGGGCCAGAAAGGGTCAGAGAAATATTCTGATGGATCGAATTGAAAAAAACTCTCACAGCCTCAAAGCAAATGTGCACACATGTTCTCAGGGACAAGCACCGAGCACTGTGAGACTGTCCAAGGTTTTGATAGTTTTTCCATTTGTAAAAAGTCCCCAGCCATAGCACAAAGAGGAATATTTTGTTCAGATAGTCCTACTGCTGGAAAATAAATAACAGGTTCTGGAGCCCTGGCAGTGGAGTGGTTACGTGCTGGGCGGTGAGCCGCAGGGGTGGGCAGTCCAAAACTCCTGGCAGTGCCAGGGGAGAGAGACCCAGCCTTCTTCTCCCATTAGCAGGTCGGAAACCCACAGGGGGTCACTATGAGTCAGCACTGGCAGTGAGTTTGGGATGGTTTTTGGAATTTACATATGGAGATGATCGTTTTTCTCATTTAAATACAAAGTATTAGGCAATAGTGAGTTGAATAAAAGTTAGGAGGCGGAAATACTTCTGATTTTTATTTAAATAAGTGCAAGAACATATTTAGGCAAAGTCAGATATACAAATAAAAAGTTACCAAAACAATTAGGTTTTCTAAAGATCTCACAGTTAAATTAAAATTTTTTAAAAATCTGTATATTTGAGGCGACATGGCTAATTTGACATAAGACAACTAAAACCACTTTGTAATTGCTTCTAGTAGTTTGGAATCATCTTTGTGCTAATTACAAAAGGCTTATTAACATATAGCAACAGTTTCATGTGTTTTGAAATTGACATGCTCTTATACAAATATGTTTTCATATCATAAGTAGACCCACAACATCTTCAATGTTACATTGTTGAAAGATATGGCCCATGAGGAGCATTTACAAAAGAAAAATTTGCAACTTTATAATTACAAATCACTTATCTGTCTGTTGAGTAGGATAACCAATTGTAGCTTGAGGAGATTATAATTGTAAATAAGAAGTTGAAAGGGCCCCAGTCCCTGCTACTGAACTATGTGGATTGTTCCGATATATGGTAGAAGTCCAGTGAGTTATTATTTACTGAAACTACTAATGATTTTACTGAAAATGGATAGTTACCAAGTACTTTCTGCCTGGCTACCCTAAACTAATATTTCGTAACACATAGGTCATTTGCATGCTGTTACACAGATGAACAGATCAGAGTGATTATATATTATTCTGCAGTTGAAATGCATACCTGTTTTACTTCTATTATTAGCAGAAACTGCCGTACTTCTATTAATTAAAATATAGGGATAATTAACTTCAAAACCCAATTTTATTTATGAAAGTAAGGTACTATTGAATTGATGGAATCAGTCGGGAGTAGTTGGGTGTGCATTTGCAAGAAAATACAGCCAAGCAAGAAGAGGCATGGGAGGGCCAGCCAGCCCTAGTGGTGCCACGAGGAGGAGCTGGCCTGCTAACGGCAGGGCAGCAGTTACAGACCACCAGCCACCCCGAGGGGGAAACAAGAGTTCGACTCCCATCCAGAGTTACTGTCTTGGGAACCCCAAAGGGTAGTTTTACCCTGGTCTATCGGGTCCTGTGAATCGGAATCATCTGGATAGCAGGGAGGGAGGGGGAAGGGGAGATCCCTCCCACCAATGTTTCATCCTAGTATTGCTAACAACGTTAATCTCTAGAAAGCCTCTCCTGCTGGGAGGTTAGCCCAGCTCACCCACACTTCGGCTACTGAGAATCATAGAAATGTATATTTGAAGGGAGGGGGGTGTCTTAGAACTCTTCTCCCTTCTGTCAGTTCTTTATTTTACAAATGAGAACGAAGGCTCAGAAACGTGACTGTGCTGTCCCCAGGCTAGATTCTAGGATTCTGTGTCTTCGACCAGGACTAGAACCTGGTCGCCCCACCTTCCAGAACAAATGACCTTCTCTGGAAACAATGAAGCTGTTGAATTAATAATTTAAACAGAAACCCAAGAAACAAATGCATCCTAAACATACTGCTTAACTTTCAACATTTTTTAACAGTTTTACTGACATTGGATTCACGTGCAAAACAATTCAGTGATTTAAACAACTACTTAACTTTAAAGTGGCATTTTATTGCTATACCTTGATCACAAGCATGGAAAAAAATCTGTATATTTGCAAGCAAGCGAGGACCTGACATTGACAGCGTAGTTTTTTATGAGATCCTGCTGTGTGGGGGCTTTGAGGATCATTCTTTGTGTGCCAGCATGATTGGATGAAAAAGACTGACTTTGAGAATTCTGCACCACTCTGGCATGGGACTGGCAATCATTGGTGATGCAAAGTGACCAAGAAAGTGCTATCTTGATGAACCTATCGAGACAACAAGTAGAATAAGGGCTCCTGGGGGGTAGGATAGGAGAGCTAGGGGTGGGGCGGGTAAAGGGGAGCTGGTTGCAAAGAGTTTAAGAAGGAAGAACATGGCTCGAAGCTGATGGTGGCAGCAATTGTACAATGCTGCTTGATGTGATTGAACTGAGGAATGGTGGATCTGAATTAGCTCCCAATAAAATGTTTGTTTGTTTTTTAAACAGGAAAGAAAGTGCTATCGTCTGTGTGTGTGTGTGTGTGTGTGTGTGTGTGTGTGTGTGTGTGTGTAATCTGGTTTATAGCAGGTGGGCTAAAGGAGCATAGACCATCTCCGAAATAGAAAACTGTCTCAGTGTGTTTTATTCGATTTCTATGTCTTGTGGTTTGGGAAATCTAGAATGTGGCAAATAGCAGTAGAATGCCAAATGCCCATGAAGACACCCCTGCTTTCTGCTTCAACTCTTCCTTCCTCGCCTGTGAGCCTTTTGCCCTTCACTCAATCGCTTCCTGAACACAGTGGAGTCAGCGCTCCCGGGACACAACTTTGAAAAGGGATTCCGTCTTCTTAACATCATCTACAAAGTGTGGCCTTTTCCCTAATCCCAAACCACCCACCTCTCCGTGGCATGGGGTGTGTAGGGCACACTGGGACGATGACACCAAATAGCCCCAGGTCTGAAGCAGGAGACCAAAGACAAAGTCCAAGCAAACAGGCTGACAGGGTGCGCCGAGTCTAAGAAGTGTCATTTCTAGGATGTAGATTTCCCCCTAAAACGCAGCAGGTCTGTGAAGTGCTCTAGACAAACAGGGGTGTATGTGGGCAGGGGGAGCGGAAGCCACTGCTCGGAGACTCAGGTCTGGGCTAGGGAAGGCAGAGGCTCCCAGACGAAGGGAAGCCACCCTGATAGAACACCAAAGAGGTGTGGGGGCGCGTCCCTCATTAGGACGGGCCCATAATTGACCAGCACCACGATGCCGACTCATCTCGACCCTCTAGGACAGGAGAACTGTCCCTGCGCATCTCTGAGATGAGCACTCTTTTCGGGAGCAGAAAGCTTGTCTTTCTCCGGAGGAGGGGCGTGTGTTTTCAAAGTGCTGGCTTTGTGACTAGAACCACCACACCAACAGCGCTGACAGGGCTCCCTGGGTGCCCAGAAGAGGCTACATAAAAAGATGGGTAGCCGGAAAGCTGGCACAGGTGAGACCAGGCCCAGGTGGGCCAAAACGCGCAGGACCCCAGGGGATGCACAGGGTCACAGCAACAGGTGAGAGTCATGACTGAAGGTGGGGCCTAGACCCCCGTGCAGAGAAGCACAGCTACCTTCGGAATAGCTGCGTAGTGCTGGGATAGCAGGAGGGGAGAAACGGCTCCTTGGGGCTGGGTGCATTGGTAGAGGCAGAAGCAGCGCTTCGGGGTCTGGGTCACTGGGGGAAAGTGAAGCCATCCGAGGATTATTCGTCTGCAAGGTAATGTGACTATCTCAGACGGGCTTTCTAAGCAGTCCAGGCTTTCTCCTCTCCACTCCCTGGGGGCTGGTTCTCAACCTATGGGGGTGGAACGACCCTTTCACAGGGGTCACCCGATTCATCACAGTAGCAAAATGACAGTGATGAAGTAGCAACAAAAATAATGTTATGGTTGGGGGTCACCACCACATGAGGAACGATATGAAAGGGTCGAGGCGTTAGGAAGGTTGAGAACCACTCTCCTAGAGGGGGTACCTGAATGATGGATTTGTCTGAGAAAAAGAACTGAGAAAGAGAATGGCTAGTTTGGATTGTTAAATGTAAGCCAAAAATGAGGGAAGATGGTCACCACCAATCCCTGCCAAGAATTCCATTGTTTGATACACAATTTCCAGTAAAGTAGGTGATGGAACCTTGTGCTGGCATGTGGTTTTGTGCGTGCGTGCGTCTGCGTGCGTGCGTCCTGGAGCAGCATGAGCAGTTTAGAGAAAGCTTAAAGACAAACAAACAGGCAAACACCTGTTTGTTCAGTAAGAATGCTCAGTAAGAAGCCACACAGAAACACTCTCCTACTTTTTCTCATACCTTCCTAGAGGTATCATACTATTTCAAATGCACGAAGCATACCTGAAGGGGACTCTTTCTGGAACTAAGAAAGCCTCACCCACTACCTAAGGATAGGAGATGGCCAAAGAGTCCCTCACCATGTCCTTCACGTGAACGGTTCTCTAGATGCTCTGAATTTGGGGGTCATTCGGTGGTAACGCGCAGAACTGAGGGAGATTTCCTGGAAGTGCACACAGCGGTGCTTGGAAGTGTCTGGTCAGTGGCACTGGCCTTTAAGAGGCGAACAGAGGGCAGGCTGCACTCAGTGCCAGACACACGTCATTTCTGGAAGAACCTGCCTTTGTAAGAGCTGGCAGCGTTTGAGGGAGTATGCCAGGCCTAGCGGCCGAGAAAAGTTAATGAAATACTCTTAATTTTTATTGATAGGCACATTCCTGTTGTGAGCCTTTATGCCAGACAGTGACAGAGAGCCTGGCTATTATTTTACCTCAGCTCCTTTTTAGCAACCTAAAAGGACTTCCAAGCATTTTGCTTTCTTTTTAAATGTTTAAGATAAGTGGTATCTATTACGATGTTCCTCAAATTTTTTATGTATACATGTACGTGCAAGCACACAAGTCTGCGTACGCATTACTGTTGTGTTGTTGAATAGATTCTGACTCATAACAACTCTATGTGACCGAACAGGTTCTCTAGGCTGTAATCTTTATGGAAGCACACGCACGTGCACACACGTATGTCAAGTCATTTTTATCGGAATGCTTTTCCACTGTCATTTTGGCTTGCTTCCTTTTTGTAAGCGTTCCAAGATGAAATTAACTGGAAGATATGCTTCCTGCGCTGACAGGCGTTTACAATTCAGACCTGATTCCGATGCACTCGTTAAGGTTTCGTGAGTTCAGCGCTACGATGGTTACAAATATTGAGAAGAGCCCAGTGACAAGGTACCAGATGGAAAAGAGCCCCGGGAGGAGCTGTCTGGGCCCTGGGATGATCTAGTTAGCAGAGGACTGGGAGAAGGAATCAAGGCATGTCAACGGACAGCGTGACAGTCAGTCATCCATTCCTGAGGGCGCGATTGTCAGGAAGGGTGGTGAACAATGGTCATCCGTCCAGTGTTTTGCTAGGTTATGTACGGAGTGTCCGCTACCTTGCTTTAAACGTAGAACTGCCAACGTTTTATGAGTCTGGCCTGGAAACGGACTACACTAGGTGACCTGCCAAAGCTCCCTTCCGACGTCAATAGAGAAACATCAAGTTCAATGCCTTCGCTACTCCACAGACCTGCGTACAACAGCGTGCTGACATGCAGAAACGTAACGCCATTTGTTCCATAAACAGCCAGGTAAGCTAGTTCCCACGAGCTTAGACAGAATGGGATAAGCTGATGCAAGATGATATATGCAAACATTTCCTACAAATCAAATTACATGCCCGCAATTCTCGAATGAAATCGCCGGAGGAGGGCCTGGCGGAATTGAAACTGTCTCCTCCATGTGTGTCGCTGAATTCAGCCTTTACAGCATTTGAAGAAAATGTTCGGAAAGACAAAGTTGGCATGTACAAGGCGCGGGGAAGCAATCGGCAAGGATCAGAGCAGAAACAGTTCTAGAAGGCATCTTAATTTGCATATGGCTCATTTGCATTTGAAACACTGAGAATCCCTACCACACTTGTACAAAAATGTGTACATATTAAATGACTTCCCACTTGAAAGAACATTTCCCTAAATGTTTGGGAGATGATCACATTTTAACGGGAGGACTTGTTTCCTTCCAGCAGGTGTAGGGGAGATGTGGCTTCCTGGTATGAGAGGCAACAGTTGATTCTGATAGTAGAACAAGACAAAAACAAGAAAGTAAGTAGAAAACAATCCCATTATACAGTTTGAGTTAAAGGCGTCACAATAAAAACATCAATCGTGATCTATGTGTGGTACAAAGACATCAATGTAAAAATTTTGCAGGCTTACACTTCCAAAAATTGTCATCTTCTGATATGAATATTAAGTTCAGTGACTCTCATGGATCGACTGATCTATTTCAATACATGCACTTCCGAGTAGCTCATCCGTTTTTAAAATGATAAATCCCTGCCAGCCCTTAAACAATTCCAGGAGCCTAAATTCTATCCATCTCAAATTTCTAATAATAGCTAAGCTATTGACAGAACAGCAAAGATTTAAAAATCCATTGTCAGTCAACTTCAAACAATATTTCACTTCAAGAAAACTATTAGGCATCCACCAGAGATCTAGAAGTGGGAAATCTAGGTCGACATTCAAACGCTGAATGTCAGGACCAGTTTTGTAACTATTTGGCTTATTTGCTGATGTGGAAGGATGTGGAGGTGAGGTGCTTACTCAGAAAGGAAGCCAGAACCAGACAGGCATCCTGGCTTTGCCTGGGCCTTGCTCTCTGGAACCTCATCGGGACAAGAGAGATCACTAGGCATGGTCTCGTGGTGCGGGCACCCGTGGGTCCTATACCTTAGAAGGTAGGTAGGATGCATCCTGCTGAGTCCAGAGAACCTGAGATAACTTTTATAGCATGCTGTCTTTTGGGTTTCTTTCCCTCTGCTGTGCCTTGGTCTTTGCCTTGTGTGAAGCTACTGATTGGTATTCAGCTGAGCTCCAGGGAGGGGGTGGGGGCACTGTGTGTGGCCTGGGACAGTGTGCTGAGAGATCCCCGAGTGGACAACGAATTGGGGAGTGAACAGGGAGGGAGGGTCACGGGCGCTCTCGTGGAGACTCTCTCTCTATGACCACAGGGTCTCCTGGGAGCGCTCCCTTCCAAGGCCCAAGGTAGGGAACGCTCTTGAGATGCTTTTAAAGGGATGGGTGTTGTACACACAGTTGGCGCTGCGTTTCCCGTGGCCACACCAGACTATGTGAACAAACCCAAGGCTTCCATTATCCAGGCAAGCGGCATTGGGCTTGACTTGCAAGCACTTAACAGGATTTACAGTCAAAGGTACCTTAGCCTATACTATATGTCATAAGGTTTTGGATACCTACGGACTGTGACCACATAGAGATCACTTTAATATTTCATCCTGTTGATCTTTTCCAACAAACTTCTATTAAAAGGCTAAGAGAGATGACATTCTTCGTTTTGTCGACATGTCAATGGGGGGAGGAAAAAAAAGACGAAAAGGTGGAAGATTGAGATACTGTCAGATGCAATGACTGTCCGTTTCTGGCAAATTGCCAATAAGCAACGCTCACTCCTTTGTTTAGTCCTTTAAATAACCATTATGGAGTGTCTTTGAGGTGTCAGGCATAGTTTGCGGTGCTGGGGAGGAAAAAGAGCCAACCGACAAATCTGCTTTCCTGAGGCTTGTGTCTTGACTCTGAAGTTCTATGGAACCAAGTGAAGGGCCCCAAACTCAAACCCAAACTCACGGCCACTGAGTGCAAGCTGATGCACAGTGGGCTGTGCGGCAGAGCAGAACTGCCGCTGCGGGTCCAAGGCTGTGGATCTCTGCGGCAGTAGAAAGCCCCGTCTTTGACCTTGCGGCTGGCAGCCCACACTGCAGCCGCATTGCTTGTCATGATCTTTACCATGTTCCTCGGTAGCTGGCACATTTGAGAATAGGATTGGTTCTCACTTGTCTGGGTTTCATCCCTTTATATCTCAGGCAAGGCAGACTTGGGTGCCAGCCACTGGATGAGTAGATGGAAGAGCCCCGCTTCCTTTACGCATACCCCGAGGCTACATAAAGACAGAGGGGTTGCACTGGGAGACGGGTAACACTCGTCATCATGGTTTTGCTGCATCAGGATGGGTTTGGGCAATCAGTCTAGCGGGTGATATGTCCAATTCAGTGGAGCCAAAGAGGGGTGCAATGATTTAGTTCAAGGGCAGGTAGAATAAAATTTGGCAACAACCTGATTATGTTCATAATTCTTTTGTTTTATTACATCAAACACAAACATTTCGTAAGATACACATCTTACTGAAAACAACTAAACCAGGACAATGAAAGGGTCTCAGGGTCCGGCTCACTGCTCTTGGAAAGGGAGAGCCGGGCGGGGGTGGGCAGAGGGCTTTTATGCACTTTAATGTTGGAGCAGAAGTACCTGGCGCCTTCTGTTTCTTCCCTCACTGCGGGCTTTTCTTTTCACTTGGTCCTCTTGAAAAGAATCAAAGTAGGGGCTCTCCAGGAGTTGGGCGCAGGTTAATCTGTCATCTGGATTCATCTTCAGACACTCCTGTGGAAGAAGAGAAAAGGGAAGGGGTTATTAAGAACGAGGCTGGTTTTGTGGCTGTGCCCAAACACTCTAATTCAGTCATGCCAACCTGAGCTTAGAACATTTTTGTTTGTGTATTATTAAGCATGGAGAGCTTATTGATAGCTAGAATTGCTCTTTCTTTTACTGTGACACGGTCATTTTAGAGGTGAACTCATGTACATTCAATGCCTCTGACATCTTTCCATGATTGGTCAGAGCTAATAGCTTTTGATAGTCTTCAAAGTGGGATGTTTGAATGAGCAGCACCAGAATAACCTGGGAACTTAGAATAAAAGCAAATGCATGGGGTTCTGCTTGAGATCTACTAGAACAGAAACTGTAGGGTGGGGGGCCCAGCAAGCCCTCCAAGGGACTATGATGCCTTCTCAAGTTTCAGGGCCACCAGAAATGCTCAGAGAAGGGACTGTTAGCCTCAGCAATTAGAAATATCTTAATATTCAGCATTGCTATTCAGATATATTGTAATAAGGCAACACTAGCAGCAACTTTGCTTGCTGAACGCTAGGAGAACTGAAGTACTTGTTTTTTTTGTTGTTGTTTTTTTAACATTTTATTAGGGGGTCATACAACTGTTATCCCAATCCATACACACATCAATTGTGTAAAGCGCATTTGTACATCGTTTCTCAGAACATTTTGTCTCCATTTAAACCCCCGATATTAGGTCCTCATTTTTCCCCTCCCTCCCCGCTCCCCCCTCCCGCATGAGCCCTTGATAGTTTATAAATGGGTATTTTGTCATATCTTGCCCTGTCCGACGTCCCCCTTCATCCACCCTCTGGTTGTCTGTCCCCCAGGGAGGAGGTCACACACAGTTCCATGTAATCGGTTCCCTCTTCCCTACCCATTCTCCCTTTACCCTCCCTGTTTTGCCACTCACACCACTGGTCCTATAGGGCTCATCCGTCCTGGACTCCCTGTATTTTCAGTTCCTATCTGTACCAGTGTACCTCCTCTGGTCTAGCCAGTCTTGCAAGATAGAATTCGAGTCATGGTAGTGGGAGCGGGGAGGAAACCTTTAGGAACTAGAGGAAGGTTGTATTTCTCATCATTGTTACATCGCACCATGACTGGCTCATCTCCTCCCCTAGACCCCTCTGCAAGGGGATCTCCAGTGGCCTACTAATGGGCTTTGGATCTCCACTCCGCACTCCCCCCATCATTCACTATGGTAAGATTTTTTTGTTGTTGATGGACACCAAGAACAGCAGCCTTCAGTACGGCTCAGGGCTCAATGTCAAGAAGAACAAAATCCTCATGACTGCACCAATAGACAAGGTCACGAGAAGCAGAGAAAAGCTTGAAGTTGGCTAACATTTCATCTTGCTTGGATCTACGACCAGTGTGCTTGGAAGCAGCAGTCAAGAACCCACATGATGTGTTGCATTGGATAAATCTGTTACACATGCCTTCTTTAAGGAGTTCAAGAGATGTCACTTTGAAGACTAAGGAACTCCTGATCTAAGCCATTATATTTTTCTTTTCTTTTAAAAAAAATCACTTGGTTGGGGGCTGTTGCAGCTCTTATCACAATCCACCCATCCATTGTGTCAAGCACCTTTGCACATACGTTGCCAGCATCATTTTCAAAACATTTTATTTCTACTTGAGCCCTTGGTATCAGCCCATTTCCCCCTCCCCTGCCATGATATTCTTCAATTGTCTCATAGGAATGTGAAAAGTGGACTATGAATAAGGGAGATGGCCGAAGAATATTAAAAGCAGCGTGGACAGCCAAAAGAGTAAGCAGATCTGTCTGGGAAGAATTGCAACCAGAATCCTTGCTGGAGGTGAGACTGGTGAGACTTCCTCTCATGTGTCCTGGCCATGCTCTCAAGGGTAGCCAGTCTCTGGAGAAGAATAGTATGCCTGGCAAAGCAGAGCCAGTGAGAAAGAGGGAGACCCTGAATGAGACGGATTGACCCAGTGGTTGAATGGGTTCCAATGACGATTGTGGGGATAGCTCAGGCCTCGGCAGTGTTTCACTTTATTGCACATGGGGTCATTTGGGGGCATAGCCAACTTGATGGCATCTAACAGCCGTAGAAGCAGCAGCAGCAGCAGCAGCAGCAGCAGCAGCAGCAGCAGCACAGAGAACAAACTGTGGCATTTAGATGCCATCATAATTGCTTTATTTAAGGCTTCCGAGTTCATAGAACCATCTTTACTACAATTTCTAATAGTGACCCAATCAAATTGATAGTGATAGGATGATAAGAGCTACAGGACCAATGAGTAATAAATAATAATGATCACGTTCATCGTCTGACTTTATGTCTAATGAAGAAAACTGAAAAGGCCCATCATACACTGGCCAGTGCATGGCACCATTGTCCTGACCGCCACTTGTCTGACAGTTTGTCTGACTGTGATGGCCTGTGTGGTACTGCAACGCTGGAAGCTATGTCACTGGTATTTCAAACACCAGCAAGGCCCCCCAAAGCGAATAGGTTTCTGCAGAACTTAGACTAAGCACAGACTAAGAAGAAGGACTAGACCATCCACTTCTGAGGGATTAGCCACTGAAAACCCTATGGATAACATTGAAACATTGCCAGAGACTGACAACCTCGTGAATAGAAGCAGAATATTGTAAGATGTAGCACCAGAAGACGAGCTCCTCGGGTCGGATGGCCCCTAAAATATGACTGAGGAAGAGCCCCCTTCTCAGAGTCGAGGTGGCCCACATGATGAGGATGGAGTGAGGCAGGCCTTCGGGACCTTCATTGGCTGATGGTGTGTGACTCAAAGTGAAAAGAACAGAAATGAACTGGAACACACAAAGAACGGCTTGGATACATTGAATACGAATGAGAGGAGAGCTGATGATCTGTGGGAGGATATCAAGACGTCCTTCATGAGGACAGCAAAAGGTCATCTGAATGGCAGGAAAGAAAGAAAAGATCGAAGTGGATGTCAGAAGAAACTCTGAAACTGGCTCTTTATCATAGAGTAGCTAAGGCAAATGGAAAACATGATCCGATCAAAGAGCTGAATAGAACATTTCAAAGGGCAGCTTGAGAAGACAAAATGAAATAATAAAATGCAATTTACAAAGAACTAGAATTAGAAAACCAAAAAAGGAAGAACACCCTCAGGATATTTTAAATGGAAAGAAGTATACAAAACATTTAAGCCCAAGTCTCAATATAAAAAGATTCTAGCAGAATATGGAACGATGCAGGAAGCAGCCAAAGAATATAGAAAGAAGATAGTCATTGTACCAAAAAGAAGTGGTTGACATCCCACCATTTCCAGAGGTAGATATGAGAAAGAGCCAGTGATATTGAAGCAAGAAAAGAAAGCATTTGCCAAAAACAAGGCTCCCGGAAACGAGGGAATACTAACTGAACGGTTTCAACACACCGATGATGCACTGGAAGTACTCACTCATCTGTGCCAGAAAATTTGGAAGACAGCTATCTAGCCACCTGACTGGAAGAGATCTCTATTTGTAGTCATTGCAAAGAAGGGTGACCCAACAGAATGCTCAAACTATAGAACAATATCATTAACATACCATGCAAGTAAAATGTTGCTGAAGATCATCTAACAAGGGTTATAGCATTATAGTGACAGGGAGCAGCCAGAAATTCAGGCTGGATTCAGAAGCGTATGTGGAACAAGGGATATCATTACTGGTGTCAGATGGATCTTGGCTTAAAACAGAGAATATCAACAAGATGTTATTTGTGTTTTATTGGCTATGCCAAGGCATTTGATTGTGTGGATCATGACAAACTATGAATAGGCTTGAGAAGAATGGGAATTGCAGAACACTTAATTGTACTCATGCGGAACCTCTACATGGATCAAGAGGCAGTTGTGTGATTAGAACAAGAGAATACTGCATGGTTAAAACCAGAAACGATGTATATCAGGGTTGTATCCTCTCACCATACTTATTCAATCTGTGTGCTAAGGAAATAATCAGAAACGCTGGATTATAGGAAGAAAAGTGCAGCATCGGGATCAGAGAAAGGCTTATTAACAACCTTTCATAGGCAGATGCACAGCCTTGCTTGTTGAAAGTGAGGACTTGAAACATTAGCTGGTGACGACCAAGGATTCAGCCTTCAGGATTCTGATGCCATGCAAAGAAAAGCCCAAATCCTCACAACTGGACCAATCATGATAAATGGAGAAAAGACGGAATTGTCAAGGATTTTGTCTCGCTTGGATCCACAGCTAATGCTCATGGAAGCAGCAGTCAAGAGATCAAATGACAAGTTGCCCTGGGAAATCTGCTGCACAGACCTCTTTAGAGTATCGAAAAGCAAGGGTGTTTCTGTGAGGACTTAGGTGCACCTTATCCAAGACACGGTATTTTCAGATGCCTCATATGCATTGAAAGTCAGACACTAAAGAAGGCAGCCTCAAGAAGAATTGATGCCTTTGAATTACGGTGCTGGTGAACAATATTGAAAAGACCATGAATTGCCAAAAGAACGAGCAAATCTGTATTGGAATCAGTACAGTTTACTAGAGTATTCAAAGTGCTCCCAGGAGCACCTGGCATAAGAATGTTCCATGGCAGCAAGGGTGAACAACTTGGTCTCACATACTTTGGACATATTATCAGGAGAGACCAGTCTCTGGAGAAGGTCAGAATGCTTGGTAAAGCAGAGGGGCAGCGAAAACAAGGAAGGCGCTCAACTAGATGGACTGACACAGTAGCTGTAGTTCACAGGGTCAAACAACAACTGTGAGGACGGTGGCACAGGACCAAGCAGTGCCCGTGCTGTACACAGGGTGGCACCTGAGAACAACAGCTGCCTGCGGTACTGTCATCAGCTAACACTTCACCTGTCGGCCATGAGATAGCCATGTGACTTATCCGTGGTTAAAGATGTCTCCTCTACGATTAATAAAAGAGAGACTTCTTTCATCTAACAGACAGAAGTCCAGGAGATAGGGTGTAGCCCATGGGACAGCAGTGTCTTTGACCCACTTAGAGAATTAAGTCGCAATTCAATACTTACAGGTCTAAATTACAGTTGAGAAACAAATATGGCTTCATCCAAAGTCTTGGACTCTTCACTTCTGTAGATGAGGACAGGGAGTTTGTCCTATACCTTGGGAAGGACCTTCAAAGTGCTGAGGAAGACAGGTCAGAGCAGGGGAAAGGGGGTCTGAGGGCACAGAAGAGATGGGCTCTGAGTCCCAGAGAGGATTCCAAGAGAAGCAATCCAGCACCCTGGAGAGCACCCGGGAAAGCTCAGCGCTGGCAAATGTTGTTCCACGAAGGTTGGCACCATCATCTGGATCAGATTGCTTTTAAACTGGGCTGCTCAGTATTAATAATCTGAGAATCTGCTTAAGGATAAAGATCGCAAGGTCCAACTAATGGATATTCTGAGTCTGTAAATTGGAGATTGACAGATTAGAAACTGGAATTTTGAAGAAGTGTCAAAGTCATTCCGCGGAGTAACTGTGTTTGGAAATGACTGCTATAGATACAGCTTAACTGGTTGTTAAAGGCAGAGCTCCTCATGCGATCCTAAAGCGCATTCAGCATCCACAATGGGTCAAGCATGACTAGCAGGACTTCCGGCACGATGGCGCCTAGGTAAGCAGCTTGCATGGAGAGCTCCGTGGCAATCAGTAAATCCACTGATTAGAAAACTGTGTGGGGGATTCAGGAAAGGGAAGGGGGACCAGACCTCAACCTGGTGTGCCAAGCCTTGAGGGCAACATACCTGCATGAAACAGTGAATTAACAGAGGTCTGCCCAGACCACACGGGAGCAAACTAAAAGGGAAAGAGAGAGAGAGAGAGAGAGAGAGAGAGAAATGCATCCTGGCCCACCAAGCTTCAAGGACGACATTCCTGCTCGGAGAAGCCAATGCAGAGAGGACTGTACGGTCGGCCTCACCATGAGATGCGAGGTCCCCTTACTGGCCCACAGCGCTACTGGGGGCAGCACCAGAGACACCGTGCAGGAATTGTGCCCGGTTGACCCCCGCCCCCCCCCCCGGCGCCCCCCCAGAGCATAACACGAAAGGAGCTCAACAGAGCAGCAAGGGAAGCAAAGCAACAATGTCCTCAAGGAATTCTGAGAATAGACTTTGGACTCGGGTGGGGGCAGGGCTTGCACTGCATCAGACCCGATCAGAAAACATTCATAAGGGTCAGCAGACAGGCCTGGAACTATTCATAGGCTCTTTCTTTCAACTTTCTTTCTTCTCTTCTTCCTTCCTTCCTTCCTTTCTTTCATCTATATAACATAGGCAGGATAAACGATCCTGAGGAGAAAACAATGGGACCGACGGTTCCAGGGAACAGAGGAGAGGAAGAGATGGGGGAAAGGGATGAGGGGAGCCATCAAACTCAGGGACAAGGCAACAAGAGATCTAAAATTGATGGTGAGGAGGGCATAGAATGCTTGCTGGGGTTCGATTAAGTGCAATGTAGCCATGAGGAAGTACAGAGAGCTGAATGAAGGCCGAACCATGATGGTGGGACAGGAGGAAAGTAAAAGGAAACAGAGGAAAGAACTAGGAGCAAAGGGCATTTATAGAGGTATAAACATAGGCATGCATATATGTAAATATATTAATATATAACAATAGGGATATAGGTCTATGTACATATATTTATAGGTTAAGTATTAAGGTAGCAGATGGACACTTGGCCTATACTCAAGGATTCCCTCAATGCAAGAATACTTTGTTCTAAAAACCTGGCATTCTGTGGTGCTCACTTTCCTAACATGATCGCTGAAGACAAAGCAGGTGCATAAGCTAATTTGGTGAAGAAAGCTGATGGTCCAGAGCTATTAGAAGATATAGCATCTAGAGTTTTAAAGGCATGAAATTTAAAAAGTGGCCATCTAGCAGGGAAGTAACAAAGCCCACATGGAAGAATCACATCAACCCGTGTGACCATGAGGTGACGATGGGATCGGGTATCAGGCATCAGAAGACCCAAAACAAACAACCATTTTGATGTGAACAAGGGAGGTCAGAATGGAGACCCAAAACCCATCTGTAGACCTTTGGACATCCCTTCACAGAAGGGTCACAAGGAAGACACAAGCCAGCCGGGTGCAGTACAGCACTGACGAAACATACAACATTCTTCTAGTTCTTTAATGCTTCCTCCCCCGCCACTATCATAATCCCAGTTCTACCTTACAAATCTGGCTAGACCAGAGTATATATACTGGGACAGACAAGAGCCCTTGACACAGAGGATCCAGGACAGATAAACTCCTCAGGACCAATAATGAGAGTAGTGATCCTCTCATTATTGAGGGTAGAGAGAAGGTGGGGGGAGAAGAGGGAGAAAGGTGGAACCGATTGCAATAATCAAGTACAACTTGCCCCTACGCCCCAGGGGGACAAACAAAGTAATGTGGGTGAAAGGAGACAGCAGATAGTGTAAAATGTGAAAATAAAAATCATTTATAAATTATCAAGGTTCATGAGGGTAGGAGAGGGAGGGAGGGGAAAACAGAGGAACTGATGATATCAAGGGCTCAAGCAGAAAGGAAATGTTTTGGAAATGATGATGGCAACATGTACAGATGTGCCTAGTACAATTTATGTATGGATTGCTACAAGAGCTGTAAGAGCCCCCAATAAAATGATTTCTTTTAAAAACAAGAATGACTAGCACTGGTGGTCACAGCTTATTCAAATGTATCCTCTTGATCACTAATCTTGGGTCTAATGCTGCAGGATTCTGAACTTTCCTAGTCTTCCAGGCATTGTAATATAGACATTGAAACATGTTACTTTTTAGAACCACTGAGTTTCCTTTAAATGCAATGATTTTACAATTTCTTGTTTCCAAAGATGACTCCACCTTGGTAGTGTGTGCCCATTCCCCACCTCTCCTACAGTTACCGCTACAAGCAGGACAACGGGCGCCCAGGCATGTTCAGCCCGATTCTGAAGTACCTTCATGAAATTCAAAGCCACGAGATGAGCACCTAAGAACTTTTCCTCAAGCGTTTCCTGGAATATAATGTGAAGAATTTCAATGTTACATCACGGAAATGTTGTGTATATTTTGAATTTACCAGTCATTAAGAACACGCTTGAGAAAGTGACCCTCGATAGGTTAGATAATTCCTTGTAAACGTTTTAAAATCACATTTTTAGATATAATAGTATGCTTTACTACAAAGGCATGAAAGACATAAAGCCGGCCTTATATTGAAAATGTCAAATAGCTTGCAATTGGTGCTGGGTCCAAGTGGATCTCGAGGTCCTTCTCTGACCTGTCACAGCTGTTCTGCAATATCCACTCATTACCCACTCAGCACCGATGGAGCTACATTGACACACACACACACACACACACACACACACACACGAGTACAGAATGCAGCAGAATGATAAAACACACGTCACAAGACTCTAGAAGAAAGGGGAGGAAGGAGCTACAAAGACAAAAGTGATATTCTACTTTCCTAGCTGTGCAGTGAGCACTGTGTGTGCTGCGTGTCATTCTTAAACACGTGCCATAGAAATATTCTTTTGCAACTTAACCTTTAACCTTATAGTCTATTCAACCTTTAAAACTAGAATAAAAAGAACAGTATAAAAATCATCACATTGTTCTACATACTAGATTCAAAATGAATACAGTCTTTAGAGATAGCTGGGGCCATTTGGACCTCAGATGGTTCACAAACCCAAACGTGGACTTGGGGCTGAGTGCCTTCGGCTTGAGGCTCACAATGAAGGGGCACGCGATTTGGGCATTTCTTGGTGACTGTAAAAGAGCTTTGTGACATGGCAGAAGCAGGACAGAGGCCGGGCCATGAGCTGTGAGCATGTCCTGCCCACACAGCTGTATGCTCAGCATTTCTCACTGTGATGAGGAGCATCCTCTTTGCATTCTCCGTGGCCATGGCAGTGAACTATCAGCGCCCCCCCCCCCCAACACACACACAGGTAGCGTTGTAAGGGAGGGATCACTGGTGTCAGAATAGGGGCTACTCAAGTCGGGGGAGGAATAGAAGGTGGAGCCCTGTCTGACCACTGCCTTTGGCAATCAGTCTTGGGAGGAGGAGACAGATGTGGCCACCTCTTGTAGTTTCCTCATATAGCTTCTCTGACCTGCACTAGTGTGTCATAAGGAAACACAAGCCAAAGCCACAGAGATGACAAAGCAAACTACTACCCCTTTAATGAAAGTCACAGTACTATATCCCAAAATCGAGGGAGCCATTTACCATGTCTTCTGGTTCGGGAATACTGATGCCGTGGAAAAACTGATTGCTTTTAAAGATCGACTGATGCCGTGGGATGAGTTTTCCTGTAAAGCACAAACCACGTAACTCACGAGAAAGCCAGGACTAATACAGCATTTGAACAGTTAACCTCAGGGGTGAAATAGGGAGCCCGTGTCTCCTCGCAGACTTGGGAGCAATGGATCCCTGGAAAAGCATGCCTTCTCAGGGGAGGTCAGTTTCCCAACACCGCCCTTGGTACCACCTGGGGCTTGGTCCACCTCGTCCTGCTGTCAAAAGGTGAGGTGAGAAATTGGTCTAAGGCCTTTAGATACATTATTCAATTTAATTTTATAACAGCCTCACAACAATAACAGACACAGCTTTTAATTTCCACTGAATGGCTGGGAAAACCAAGGCTCAACAGAGACTCAAGGGGGTTGATAGCTTGTCCGTGCCTATTCAGCGACAGGATTCAGGATTCACACTCGGGTCTGCGGAACTCCTGGTACATTTCCTCAATCCTTTTTTTTTGGAAATCGGTCAGGCAAACGATACATGCTAAAGGTGTGGTCCCTAGGGGTACTCTACCTCGAATTTTCATGCTACAAGATTCTCCAAAAGCTATTGGAGCTCCACAGAACGGAGTCAGGCTCCAGTCAAAATCTCTGGCCTGGCAGCCGTGCGGACAGGGAGTGACCGTGCGGACAGGGAGTGAACGAGAAGGAAGGAGAGAAAAGGTCACCTTAGGTTTTTAGAGGCACGGCTCTCTACTACGCTGCTGGCCGGAACTACTGCCCACTTTTCGGAGTGGCCCCAGTGACCGCAAGGACGGACCCAGCATAAGGATGGCGCAGGAGCGGGAGCTGTTTCGCTTTGTTGTGCTTTCGGTCACTAACCACCCTACCCCCTAACACCCACCACCACCACCACCTTTGGGTTATCTTCCCTTCCAGCCCGGTGGAGGTAGACAACCTGTGGAAGATGAAGAGTCAGGCAAGGGAACCCTGAAATCCCATTCCCACCATGCATTTCACTGGCCACATAGATTAGAGCCAGTCCTGGAAGCCTCCTGAGCCTCAGTTTCCCCATGGGTTAAACAGGCACAATCAGAGTGCTATAATTCCCTTATCTGACTTCCCGTAAGACTTGGAAGAGATGTGCATGGAAGGCATTCATAAACTCTTAGGCACCTCTACAAGGAGAAGTGCCAATAGTACTCTAAGCTCAGGCGGCCACTCCTGAGCAGGAAGTACAGCTGGACTCCTGAGCTTTAGGGCAGGGCTGTCAAACAATGACCTCGTGCCCCAATCTGTGTCCCTCTGGTCTAGGACCACAGAATGTTCACCACCTTTTTAAGTGGCTAAAGGAAGATCACAAGGATATTTTGTGATGTGTGGAAATTATCCAAAATTCAAATGTCAAGAGTCCATAAGTTTTATTGGTGCCCAGCCACACCCATTTGCTGAAGGATTTTTCTCTGTGTGTGTTTGCACAGTCACAGCGGAGTTGAGAGGGTGTGGCCAAAACTTAAGATAGTTGCCATCTGGCCCTTTACAAAATAAATAAATTAAAAAAAATTATGATCCCTCCCCTACAGTATAGAGGGGGAATCTATCTTCTTTTACTGAGGACAGAAATGACATTGGATCAAATAGCTCTTAAATCTGACAAATACCGTTATTCCGTCTAAACCCAATGTAGAAAGCCAATGCAGTTTATTCCATGGCCAATGCATTTTATTTGACACGCCGCCTGAAAATCCCTCCCGGAGAAGCGGTGTGGCTACAGACTGAGACGAACCCAGAACGACCTAGCACCTTGGAGAAGCAAGAAAGCTCTTGTTTTGCATTCAAATCACATATTATTACTATCATCACTTAGCAACTCCCTAAGGCATACAGTGTGATTCATACCTAGTGTTCGGATGATCAAATAAAGTTGGTCCACATCTGATTTTCCAGGCCAGAGTGGCTGGCCGGTGAGGAGCTCTGCAAAAACGCAGCCAATCGCCCACACATCGACCGAAGAACCGTACTGGGTGTCGCCTACAAGAAGTTCAGGAGCTCGGTACCATCTCGTTGCGACATAATCAGTGTAGGCATCTCCTGGAACTGCAAGTGCATCAGATCTGGTGAGCCACATTCTCCCAGAGCTGCCGGCCAAGCGCGGGTCAGCACGCAGTCAGGCAGGCTGCAAGTACCACTTCAGCCAGCACGCTGCCAATGGTTAATGCTGGGAGGTTCCCTGTCAGCAATTACTGAGACAGTTAACTTTCAAAGGCATTTTGACTAGATAACATGTATCTTAATCATCAATATCTGAAGGATAAGACTGTGTGTATGTGTGCGGGTGTGAATATCTGTAAAGTAAATTCAAATCTAAACCAGCTATTACTCAAGTCTGCATTATTAACAACAAGGTGCTAATCAACTGCACTAAACTAATTCTCTATCCAAATTTGTTCCAGAGGATTCATTAGGACAGAGACCTCAATTTGACTCCTTCGGGTCCATTGTCAGCAGCATTTAATTGAGACAACCACCTGAGAGCACAAGCACCCAGCCAGAAAGGTGCAAGTCTCCCCTGGCCCCGCCCAATGGCACCCCTCTTCCCCAGTGTTCCATCGGAGCTGCCTGCTCACGGATGCAGCCGCCCATCTGCAGGTGTGTGATGTCCGTCTCATCAGATCAGCGGAGTGTGCACTGGGGGATGAACGGCCTGTCTCTGGTCAGCCCTGCACAAGCAGGAACTCCTTCTCTAATCAGCCATCCCTCTCCCACAGCTGTCCTCGGAGCCCCTAAGCGTTCCTTCTGGGAACAAGCACGTTGTTTTGCCACCTCCTGAATGGGCACGAACGATCCCCGGGTCAGTTTCCTGACTGCAGACATCATCTAGCTTGGCGGGAACTCAGTCGAGGACCAGGTGATCCACCCCTTAATTCTTTCTCTGCTTTTCTATTTTCTTCTATTTTGCGTCTCTTCTTTATCTTTTTCTTAGTATTTTTTAATTATTATATTCTCTGAATGCCCTCAGTTTTGTTTATTGTCTCTCTCTTCTCATTTTTATTTACTTTCCTTTTCTTTTTCGTTACTAAGTTCTCTTTTTCTTGCAGTTGTTTGCTTGTTTTCCCCACGCTCGCTTTTACTTTTATTATTTTCTTTTGTTGCTACTGATTGTTTTTGTTCTCCTAATCTTTTACTTTATCCTATTTGACAGGCAATGGAAATGGTGTCTACATTGATCGGTCACACCTGTACTTCCTGCAGTCCCACCCACTGGGCCAGGGTTACTACCCACTCCTGTAGCCCTTGATCAAGGATAGACAACAACCAACACCAGGCAAGCCCACCCTCAACTGTGCCACCGGAATGCAAACTGAGAACTGTGCACAACTGTGCACAACTCCCACTGTCCACACGGCCATCAAAAGACAACTCCCCCTTGGCTTTTCAGCCAAATGATAGGACTTATCAGGGGAACACTCTTACTAGTGAGGCATACAGACCTTTCAGTAATCAACCACGTGAGGTCCAAAGAACAGCATTCATCCAAGGGCAGAGTGAGAGAGTGAGTAAATGTGTGTGTGTGTGTGTGTGTGTGTGATAGAAAGGCAGAGAAAAGTATTGAAGAGTTATTGGTAGGAAGCCACCCCAATACCCCTAATATTATGAAAAGCAAACAGATACTCATAAAAGAATCTGAACAAACTCCACACGAGATAGACCACAAAATAAAATCATGGCATTATCATAATAAAACTTTTCAAAACCAAAAACTGAGGAAAGAACTCTGATAATAATTTTTGGAAAAAGTTACCTACAAAGAAGAAGCAATAAGACTATCTTATCCTCTGAGTTCTTGGCAGAAACCAGGCAGTCAAGAAGGCAATAATAGTATGTTATGTTATAAAACTGTGAAATAAACAAAATTACCAATCAAGGATTATATACCCAGCAAAAATTTCCTTCAACTATAACAACAAAATTCGAATATTTGCAGATTTAAAAAAAAATAAAAGGAATTTTCAAAAGCAAAACCAACCTTGCAAGAAATCCTAAAGGGAGTTCTTCTGACAGAGAACAAACAACCTGAGATGGAGACCTTGCTGCCCAGTCACAAGCAGACGCGTTGCTTTCATGCCTGAATGTTCTGGCACGGTAACTTGTGTCTGCATTTACATTAGTTTGGGCAGTTTGTAAGCCTGAAAGCAACATAGGTCTTCATAGGAGCTGGCTGCCTGGGATAGTTTGGCTTGAAATTGCTGGTTGGCAAAGTGTTAACATACGTGCTAATCCAGATGTAGAAGTGTCCACAGAGAGCTGAGATGTGTCCAAAGTGAAATAAACGTACCAAACGGAAAACAAGGATCATGATATAAATTTGTGAACATTTATTTACTAAGGAAAAAGAGGGACAACATTGTGAAGTTCAGAATTTCCAAGTGGAGAGGAAGTCCACTAGACTTCAAGACAGAAGAGACTGGTTTAAACTTGATTTTGTCATTATAAATAACATCAGTGTGAAAATCTGCACACGGCAGATTCTTCTGTATTCAGGACTGCTTCTTTAAGTGGTTTTCTATGAGTGGAATTACAAGATTGAGAGGTATACATAGTATATATATTAATTATAAAAAAGCTAATATTTTTATTTAAAACTATAAAAAATGTAAACAAACCTAAAGAGAAAATAAAAACCCCATGCAACATTGTGAGCCTGAACATGTTTTTGTAGTTAAGTTTCCTCGAAGTATACATTTTTCATGTATGGTATTAAATTGGATCTATTCTTTAATCACTTCCTTATTTCTGACCATTTATGTTCTTTCTAATTCTTCTCCAGTAATGAACTGGAGTTAGGCAGTACAATGAATTATTATTTTTTTCCTTTTTTTTAATTAAAAGATCATTTTATTGGGGACTCTACAACTCATGTTACATCCATACATCGCTTGCATCAGGTGGATTTGTACCTATGTTACCTTCGTTCTTTTCTAGACTTTTACTTTCTGTTGAGCCCTTGGTATCAGCTCCTCTCTCCCAACTCAATGAATTATTTAATATGGGTCTTCTAGTTGTAAATCTTTGTCACTCACACCAAACCACCTTTATACTGATGGCTCTGGGTAAGCAGGTGGAGGAGGAGCCTGAGCTGATGATCTGATCCAGCTATGATCAATTGTTAATGTTAATTGTGAATGCCATCCAGCTGGGTATAAAATGAGCCATCTGAAGCAGAAGGGAGGGCTCTAACTACTGCAAGAGTCGGGAATGGCGCTGGTCTTCTGAACTCCGAGCTCCCTGCACATTGAACCTCCTTGAATCAAGGGACAGTTTTGACGTCAAAGGAGTGGCACAGAGGAGCAGCAGCAACAGAACCAGGACTCAGCGCATGAGACAGAGCTGTGGACCTCCAGGCTACGGGGTAAGTAAAGCTGAGTGCTTTGGGGCAGGAGGCTGGCTTGTGGAGTGCGGCGCCTCTGAGCACTTGAATTGGGAAACTGGGTTTGCTGACCCATGGAGTTGGAGCTGAATGCCTTTGGGTTGAAGCTTATGGCAGAGTGGCATGACCTTTGGCTATTTGACAGCTGTAGAAACCTGGTAATCCTGCCCAAGGTGGGCAGAACAAAGCTTGCAGAGACTAAGCTGACTGCACAACTGTAGTCTGAGCATGTCTCACTTGAGTTGTAACCTGCTAATTTCCCGAGTAAACCCCATATTCGTGAGCATCGTCGTGGGTTCTGTGTGGCCCACCCAGGAACAGAAGTAGAGTGAACAGGGTTGAAGGGTTGGAGAGTGGCAGTGTGTCTGACCTCTGCCTTATGTCGGTCGACCTTGGGAGGAGGAAGAGGTCAGGTGTGTCCTCCAGGCTGTTTTTTTCAGGTAGCGCCAGGAGTGGAATTTATTGCAATGGCTCCAGGTTTGTTGAAATTATGAGACTTTGTAAGGGAAAGAATGTAGGGTATGGTCATTCTTAGATGGTGACTTTGATTATGGTTACCTGTAATGGCTAAAAGGAAAATAAGAAATGACACATTAGAGCTAAGGGGCGAAAAGCTGCTTCCAGAGTGGCCTGAGGCCAAAGCCTGGCTGGTTAAGCAATGCGTGATTGACAAAGGGAGGGTCGCTGCTGCACATATCCCTACGTTTCTCCAGAGGGTCTGAGAATGGGGCCTGGGGAGGACACTGGCACCACTAGACAGTTCTCCACATCACCTGAAATCATTTTTCCCCTGCTAGGAACAGGGATGCACCTGGAGTGCCAGAGCAGAGGCGATCCTTCAATAGAAATATTATAACTATCACCTGAACCTGAAGGCCAGCATTCTCAAGGGCCTGGTAGAATGGATTATACACCCCACCCCACCAATTTTCAGAATTGGGGTTGACTGTGAATAGTGTTGCATTGCCTCATGGACAGACAGCCCACTAGTCTTGCACCTATGAAACCCCACCTAACACGAATGGGAATGGACTGGGGAAAAAGCACTTGCTAGACGGGTTTTGCTACCAACAATCTGGACTCCTACAGTAGCTGAACCTGATGTCCTTCCACAAGATGGAAAAGTTTGGGTAAAAATAAATGACAAATGGAAGGAAGGAGAAATAACAGCTGAAGGTGAACGGTTATGCAAGGGGAAAATATATTATGCTTATTCCTTGACTCACTAATCTCTCGGTTAAAAGGGGTAGGAAGAGTGAAGTTGAGACCACTTTTGTAGAATCTGACCAGATCAGATGAAACTTTGTCTCCTCAGAATATGGTTTACATTAAAATGATTAAGTGTGTGTGTGTGTGTGTGTGTGTGTGTGTGTGTGTGTGAATTCTGCAGGTTTGAAAAGGACACTGGTCAGAAGAGCCATGGGGTGGCCTGCAGTACAGTGAATTATTTAATATGGTCTTTCCAGCCCATAAGTCTTTGCTACACACTGAAAACAACCTTTGCCCTGATGGTTCTGGGTAGGAAGGTGGGAGAAGCTACTGATTGGCTTATGTGATTCAGCTGTAAGTGACTGTCTATAGGGTTAATTGTGATTGTTGTCCTGCTGGGTTCAAAATGTGCTTTCTCAGAAGCAGTGGGAGGGATTCTTAGTATTAGCAAGAGAAGAGTAGGAGGGGAGCACATCTTTTCGGACCCCAATATCCCTGCAAAATGAATTTCCTTGATGCAGGAGACAGTGGACATCCGGACTACTGAGCAACTGCTTTTGGACAGGAGGCTGGCTTGTGGAATGGGGTGCCCAGGACACTTAACTGGGGAGCTTGGTTTGCTGACCCACAAAGCTAGAGCAGAGGGCCCTTGGGCTGAGGCTTATGGCAGAGTGGCATGCCCTTTGAGCATCCACTGGCAGCTTTAAAAAGCTTCGTAACATTGCCTAAGAGGGCAGACAGCAGGCTGAGGGGCAGCAAGAGGTCTGCCTGTGGGAACGGCTGAGACTGTCCTGACTGAGCAACGGAATCTTAAGCAATTCTGAATTGTATCACCAGAGCAGAGTGAATAGGGTTAGAAGAGGCGTGTGGAAGGTGGAGGTATCCCTGACCTCCACCTTGTGGCAATCGGCCTTGGGAGCCAGAGGAGGTCACATGTGGCCCCCACACCATTTCCTCATTACTCTCCAGTGAACATTAAGGATAATTAGTATCACTTGGTATTAAAGAGTCACAGGGTACTTTTAAGACGTACTACAATTTATTTTGCAAGCTGCTTTCCTGAAGATTGATCCCAAATCGTGTTCCCACTAACAACAGTCTTGTGAATTTTGTGTGGTTATTGCTTTAAAAATCTTTGCCAACTTTGAGTGACAAGTAGAATTGATGTGCATGTCTTTGATATGCATCAGGACAATTATTTCCTGTTTATTAGCTGCCGCTCCTCTGAATTGTCTGTTAACATCTTGCCCTTATTCCTACGCAGAGGCTTAGTGGTTTTCTTAGTAATTTGCATGAACGCTTCCATATCAAATGACTAATTATCCATTAAAATATTCTCTTGATTACAGGCTATGAAATTTTACTATCTCTGTGTCTTACCTTTTCATTTACTCACTCAAAATGTATTTTAGAGAGGCTTCATGTTTTTGTAGTTGTCTATTGAGCCACTCAATGGCTTTACTTGTGAGCCACGTTTGCCTGTCTTGTTATAAATGACCAACAGCGAGCCCAGCAATAATCCAAACCAGTATTCATAATGGAATGAACTGGGCCCAGTGTTGCTGCATTTTTAGCCAAGCCTAACCTCCGTGACTAGGTGTAGTCAATTTCCACAGATAGCATCCTGAGGTGACAGAGCCTACAGGGTTATCTAAGCTGTAATCTACAGTGAAGGAGGAGCCCTCATTCGATCCCACCACCCCTCGGAGAGGAAAGATCTGGTGAGCTTCTCCTATGAAGATGCTCAAGTCTGTCTCCCAAGGAGACTGAGTGGGGTCCAACCACCCACCTTTCGGTGGGTTAGCAGCCAAGAGTTTACTGGGCACGTCATGGGACTCCTGTCTTACACTATAGCTGTTTGTTACAAATATCATGGCAAAACATATGATTGAAATGAACAATGGATTCACCAATTGAGTGACTTTCGTTAGGGTTCAGGCAATGAAAATTTCTAAAGCAGATCACTCAAATTGGGAGCTCAGTTTTTTCAAGATTCTCATTCAGAGAATGACTGTTTACTATAGGAAGATGCAGCCAGAATCCATACTCATGGGAATTGTTAATACATTTGTAATTTTATAAGCACTGTCACTTTAAAAGGGCTTTGCAGCACATGAACAACCCCCCCCCCCTTCCCGGTAATATTTATGAGGTCATTTTTATATAAAATGTTCCTTTTATGTTCTTAATCTTTGTACTAGTAGGTGTCCGTAGGCTTTTCCACATCTTTTCCATGACCACTTTGGGTATTTTTGCAGTACAAAGTAGATTTCCAGGAAAACAAATGTATTCCTCTTATAGGAAGCTGCTTCTTGATCTGTCTTCCAGTAAGGCCTTCTCTTAAATTCTTGGACAGTCAAGGAACATACTGTATACAGAGGTTAGCTTCCGCACACACCCCCACCTCCCCCCGCCCTCGTAAACCTTTTCCTATGGCACTGAGCACTGCTCTCCCTTTGGGGGCCACCTAACATTTCATGCCAAGGTGAAACAAAACAAAGCCTCTGCCAAGGAGGCAGACAGCTTCCACTTTCTCTCCTGGAGCAGCCGGTGGGGTTTCACCTTAATTTCCTGTTGGCAGCCTAATGCTTCACCCAGTGCGACACCAGGGCTGCTTTCATACTGCGATGTACCTTGTCTGCTCAACTGTCTGCTCTGCCTGTATGCCTCTTTCCAGCCCCTATCGAAGGGGGGCGGTTATCATTAAGATCTTCTACCAAGAGGAAGAGAGGTGACGTCTCAGTCTATTGGTTTGGGGTTTTGCTCGGTTCTTCCAAGTGCATAGTTATGCCACCTGTGCTGGGGTTACATTGGGACACTGATAGCGGACACCCCCATACTGCAATGTGTCTTCTAATACTGTGTTTCCCACTGGAAAGTTCTAGATTAGGGGAGAAGTGATTTTGTCGGCCCCCCTTCCGCCTTGGCTCCTCCCTCCCTGGGATGTGATGTCCCCTCTTAGTACTGTCTCTGAATCCTCTAATTGTCAATTTCCCCCACCCCAGTCTAATTGGCTCCATGAAGCTTTTCAACCTCTCACCCGCATGGTCCCCTCCCTCCGGGAGCTCTGGTGCTTTAGTATCTTATTGCCAATCATCTGGATTATTCTCTGCTGCTTCTACTTCAGTGGAGAAATGTGTAAAGAGCAGCAAGGCGTCAGAGTTCTTTTCTCCGTTAGAGTAGAAATTCCAGCGGTATCCCTCCGTACGCATCTGAATTGGACAGAGTTCAAGGGAAAAGCCCTTACTTACCCAGGATTCGTGCGAACCCGAAGTCACAGATCTTAGTGATTCCTTGCTTTGTTATCAGGATATTTTCAGGTTTTACATCTCGGTGAATGCACTGCAAGATAATTTTAATTATTTCTCTGGATGAGGAAAAAAAAGATAATGCTTAATAAACACCAGCTATTAATTTTAAATAATGGATAAGCAGTCTGTGCGATAAATTGACCAATATAGGTTTCCTTCGGTTTTCTGAAAAGAATTGGTTGGCACTCTAGCACCTACAAATCCCGTTCTACACCACAAGGAAAAACACCAAAATGTTGCTAGATGAGTGAAGAAGTTACCACTATAACAATCGGACATGAAAACTTTGTTGTTGTTAATCAAAGAAGGGAACACAATACGATTATTTCTTCCTTTTGGTTTTTTTTAACCTGGTCTCTTCCTGAAACTGTTCTAAGAGGCAAAACCCTAAATGAGACTAGATCCATTGTTGCCTCTTTTAAAAAGAACTGCTATCACGCAAGAGCTGCAGTTCAGGTGGGGTACAGGGTGCAGAGTTGAGAAGCTAGAGAAAGATTTGAATGACCAAAAGTAAAACTGGCGGTGAGAGCGATCATGATGTGACATCGAAATCAGGACCCTTTCAAGTGGGGAAGCGGGGCTCTTCATGAGGACCACGGTGCATCAGGCACAGACCAGGCGAGCTAAGTAAGTGGGAATGGAGCTACTCCAGAGAGTGTGAACCCTGCAGATGTCCTAATAAGGCGCTAGCCTGCAATGGTGAAACCACAGCTTCCTGAGCCGGCCACGCAGCAAGGCACTGTGGGGTTCCTCCAGAGGCTGCTGGCTTATCCCAGAGAGGCTCCTGTTATCTCTTACGCAGAACACACATGATGTGCTGGAACCTTGTAATTACCCAGCGGCGCAGGAGTTCCGGGCAGGCCCGGAGAGGCCGAGGGCCCTGGAGGCAGCAAGCTATGAGGGCGCCTCCAGAAACCAGCCTTCCAGGGGGCAGGAAGCCCTGAGAGAAAGCCACCACTCAGATGCTACTCTAGAGAACGTTCTAGTTCACCCCAAAGAGAAGCCAAAACCCCAGGCTGACTGTAATAGCTCGGCCCTCAAGTATAGCTCTGTGCTTTTCCAAGAACCTTCACTCACATGGTTTCTTTCTCGAAACAGCCCTTGTGCTGGGAGGCAGCCTGGCAGGGTCTGCAGGCTAAAGTCAAATGGTGGCCCACTTCCCTGCTGTCCTTCCCGCCCCAACGCCCAGTCCCTTCAAGGGCCCAACCCCCGGGAAAAATCCGAAAACAAGGGTCCTTGTTTCTACAACAGCGATCTAAGGAGCAGATCAAAGTCTAAAGCCATCCTCGGTCACCAAAGCGGCACTGACAGCTGATAGCTGCTCCCAGTTAGCTTTCATTTCAATTGTGGAGTTACTGTTTTATCATGTGTACAACTGACCAGCTCATGGGAAAACTTCCTAGGACCCTGAAAGTCCTATTGTTTAAAAAAAAATCCTCGTTGACTATAAACCAATATAGCGTTGATAGATCTTAAGGCACTTGGGTGGACTCCCTAGGTCCTACTCCATTAACCACTCTGTGATTTAACTGGGATAGAGGGATGCCCCTCTAGTGGCATCACATTTCTATGATTTGTGGACTGTTGTTAGTCTATAAATTGTTAGTCTCGGAAACCCACCGGGGCAGCTCTCTGTCCCATAGTGTTGCCATGAGTCGGCATAGACTGGATGCCAGCAAGAATGAGTTGTGTTACTGAGAACTAAGCAAATGAACTTACATGTATCTCCTGCCCTAAGGGGATCCCTGGTAGCATAGTGGTTACACATGGGGCTGCAATCTGCAAGGTCCACAGTTTGAACCCATCAGTCACTCTGTGGGAAAGACAGGGCTCTCTACCTTGGTTAGGGTCTTGGAAGCTCATCAGGGGAGTTCTCCCCTGCCCTAGAGGGCTGCTAGGAGTGGGCATCGATTCAACGGCAGCAGGTTTTACTGGCCTATGTTAACGTATTTTGACTGTAGTGTACAGGTATGTCAAGTTTACAGAAACTTTTTTCCAACTAAAATATACAAAGGTAAATGAAGTTTGATCTATTCCAAAGAAATAAAAAGTTTTATTGGTTATTGGTGTCATTATAGGTGAGAGAAATGACTGGTCTGAACACGGATGGACGTGTTCTAACATTGGATTGTGGTACTGGCTGAACAACTCTAAAGCTAAAAAATATTGACGTGGAAACTTAAAATGGAAGCACTTGATGGTATTTAAGCTTCAATTGCATTGTGGAGAGAGAGAGAGAGGTTACTGACAATGTTACTGGCACACAGGGCATGGTATTGAGGATGGTCGATCCTTGGACATGCTGCAGTCATTTTGTCCCCTGCAAAGCCATGTTCAGTGTCAACGCTCAGTGGCCAGTTTATTTCCCACCAGAGATCAAGAAACACGCAGGCCACTGTAACAGAAGGCTTTTCATCAACTTGGGTTTGATAAACAGCTTTCAACAAACACTGGCTCGGGTGACTGTGGCTAAGGGGCAGTCTCTTCTTTATTGGTTCAGAGCCAGCAAGAAGGTATCTCTGGAATTTTAACCTGGACACTCTGTTTCCATCATCCCCGTGACCTTCCGCATCAGAAATACCTTTGTCGGTAACTGTCTGAACAATAGTTTCCATTATCTGATAAGGTGCTCCTCTTTGAGCTTCAGGGAGGGATATTCACATAGCAACCCGGAGAACTTCCTGACAAACAAAACTTTAAAATCAACAAGACGATGCTGGGTTTTGCAACTTGAGGCTCGTATCTCCGACATCGTTGCAGTCTCCTCATTTTTGAGATAAAGTTGTTTTTCTCTTCACAACACAGGTGAGGACCCCACAGATCACCTGGCCGCAGCACTCCGGTGTAATTATAGGGTAGGAAAGTGGATGAGCTGAGTAGGTTATTTTCCATCAGTCCCAAGCTGTTCAAAATGTAAGGTGGGCACAAATCGCCGGGGTATCTTGTTGAAATGCAGACCCAGGTTCTGCAGGGCTGGGATCGACCGGACAGTCTGCATTTCTAACGAGCTCCCAGGTAACCTCTGGGCAACCACACTCTGAGTAAGGCCCGAAGACTCCAAATCTGGTGCCGCCGAGTCTTCAGCATGACCCCAGAGGGCAGGGTAGAACGGACAGAAAGTCTGTCCCCGCCCTTGCCCACAGAGCGGCAGTTGAGTGCGGTCACCACTGTACTTTGAATCGCAAGGCCTTAACCCCTTGCTACTTTGACCTTCGCCGTCTTGGCGAGCGAGGCTCATGACTGTGGAGGTCACAAAGTGCACTTGAGCCACGGATTGGGAAGGAGACTCGCCAGCAGGACCGCGGAGTCTGCTTGCCTTTTCTGTCCTTTGAGCGTATCGTGAGGTTTCTTTTAAAAGTCAGGGGTGCATGAAGGTCTGGGATGCATTCTCATAGCTTCTACCTGGCTCAGATTTTTGTTCTTGGCATGTCCTTTTTGCTGATAAGGTCCAAGAGGAAGGTGGACACACAGACTACGAGAACATGAGATGGTCAGGGTTCAGAAGTTATGTCCATCACGGGAGAGAGGAGTGTGAACGATGGCCCGTCTTTAATGGAAGTCCTGGGGCAGAGAGTGGGTCACGAGTGGGCTGCCAAACCAAACTCTGAAGCCGCCAGTCCTCCGCAGGAGACAAAGGCGGCTGTGTGCTCTTGTAAAACCGTAATGTCTTGGAGCCCCACAGGGGTGTTCCACTCTGGCCTACGTGGTCACCGAGTTGGGATCAACTGGACGGCAGTGAGGTTTGGGGGTTTGGAATAACAAAGGTCACAAATGATCAATGAGATAATTTTTCAGGACTTCATGTTTCATGCTTTTAAAGCTCAAGATACAAAATGGCCATTCTAAACAGGGAGATGATGGCAGCTGCCCTCAACTGTGAGGGTCGGTCTGTCAACCAGTGAGGCACAGCCACCCGATAGGTAGGTTGATGGACTGACTGACTGACTCATTCTTTCATCTGGTTACTCAGTGTTACCGACCATCGAAGCTGGGAGGAAATCCACGGGGGTACTGTCCGAGAGACACACGGAAATTAGCCACCAATTTATTGGAGCGTATAAGCTAGCCTGCAGTGAGGTGCCTCGTACCTAGGGGTAAAGTGCAAACCCTTAAAGTCAGCAGTGTTTTTCTAACGGATCATTTTAACTAATGGATCTGGATTTTTATTTTTATTTTTTTATTTTTTTGATCTGGATGTTTTTTTAAAGAGGGAAACTGTGGCACAGAATCTCAATGTTTTACAGAAACCAGACTTCCTGGACCCACCGAGGCTGGGATAATCCCAGAATCTGAGATAATTTTTAATCCTTGAATCAAAACTACCCCACGAAGCTAACTTTAAACATTTAGCTAAACTAGTAAAGAATATTTGCCCTGAACAATGCACTCTTTTTTTTTGGAGAGGGTAGGGGTAGTGGTGGTACAGTGCTTTTTATTGTGGTTTGGGTAACAGTTTACATAGCGTGATTCATTTTTTCACTCAGCGACTCACATTTTGTTTCAGGAAATTGCTTACAATCCTCTCAACGAAGCAGCAGTTTTCCCACCTCCTCCCATTCACCCATCTTTTCGGCCCCCTGCTGACTTCTGACCTTTGTTTGGGGACAGGTTTAGTCCAGATGTCAATTATTATTTTCATTCGTTCTAGAATTCCTTCCGTTATTTCCTTTTCCAAAAAAAAAAAAGTTTTATTGATGCATAATTCACCTATCTTACGATTCAATAGTTCAAACATATTGAAAGAATCATGCGGTCAGCACCACAATCCCTTTTAGGACCTTTTCTCCTTGCTTGTCCTCCCTAGCTCTCCATCTCCCCTCAACCCCCCCTGCCCATCACCTCCAGAAAATATTAATCCAGTCTCTCTAGATTTCCCTATCCTGGATTTCACATAAAGAGAAGCATACAAAAAGAAATCTCAACAATAAAATGAAAAAGAAAAAAAAAACTCAGTTGAAATCGGAAAAGAATGAAAAACTAGAACAAATTTAAAATGGATCAAAAGGGAAGGCAGAGGATAAGGGGTTAATTTTCCCCTATCTGCATCTGCATTAGTCCACTTTCCTGTGACCTCTGTCACAGACCTAGGCTGTTCGCATCCCTGGTCAATGGTCAGAGGGGTTTCCTGGTGGCTCGGTCCACGTAGCGATCCTGCAAATGGAGGATGGGCTTCCAGAGTCATCCATAGCCTTAGAGCAGTGCCCTCTTCTGAGGGATGATCTAACTAAGGTTAAACTGGCAATAAGAGCTCTAAAAGAGAGACGCTTACCCGACAGAGAATCTAAGGTACGTGGTGATAGAACAGGGGTAGAGATCGCGAGAACAGCAGCACAAGGTGAAGCATGGAGACAATGTTGAATGAGTATGTTTTGTGATGTATAGTTTCACCCAAAAAAGGGGGGTGGGGCGGGGCTGGGGAATCACTTTACCCAGAAAACTCCTTCGGTGAACTTCAATACTTGCCTCTAGCCTGGTGGAAATCTACAATGAGAAACTCAATTCAAGCATCATCCTTAGTTAAGTACTTGCACCATAAAGAATAGGTCTGTGTCTATATCTTGGGACTAGTATCCCTTTATAATTTATTAACAGAAAAGCTTTTGGTTTATTCTGATAATAATGTCACCCACTTTCATAAAATGAAAGAGTGTCCTCTAAACACTGAAATGCACTGCCGTGGTGAGGTGGTTTCTGTCTATGCAGTCAGCCCAGGCTCCTAGGAGAGACCCTCTGCCCAGGCGCAAACTGAACAGATTCTCATCGGCACCTGGCCTCAATGCAGTCTCCACCCGTGCACCAACTCAAAAGGTCTAGAAATATATATATTTTAAGAAGCTATTTTCATAGCAAAAGCACCCAGGAGCCAATGTTAAGAGGCTCCACTGGCCGCCTATGGGACAACATGAGCAGCAGGGAGAACAATGCGAAGGATGGGAACACATCAGATTATAAAAATCCCTGCGTTTACACTGATGTCCCACCAAAACACCTTCATTGCTCACCATTCAATGTTACTAAGACACCAACCCATCGCTCTGAATATAAATAATTTAAAAAAAAGTAAACCAAACCAAACCCCCTGTGGTTGAGTGTAGACGGATAGTAGCCCTGGAAGACAGAGCCGAATCGCCCAGATACATTCATCTCTACTGAAGCTGACTGACTTATCTTTCCACGTGGAGCAGCTGGTGATTCTGAACTGCTAACCTTTTCATTCGTAGCTGAGTGTTTTCACGACTGCACCACCAGTGCGCCTTCAACTAAAGGGGATGGGAAGAAATAAACTCACTCTATGGAGTCGATGCTGACTCCTAGCAACCCTAGCAGATGGGGTAGGAGTGCTCCTGTGAGTTTCCGAGATCACTTTTTTATCTTGTACAATAACCAGTCACCGGCAGCCCGGGATTCAGACAAGAACAGAACACACAAGATCATGACACACCACTTAACAGGATGCATCTGAATTGGGGTGCTGGCAAAGAATATTGATAGTACCATGAACAGTCAGAACAACAAATCTGTCTTGAAAGAAGTACAACCAGGGTATGCCTTGTTATCAAGAGAGACCGATCCTGCAAAGGACATACTACTTGGTTAAGAAGAGAGTCAGCAAAAGAGAGGGAGACCCTCAGTGAGGCGGACGAGCACAGTGATTGCAACCCTGGGCTCAGACAGGCCATGTTTCATTGGGTTGAACACGGGGTCTTGACAAGCTGGAACCAGCTCAATGGCACCTAGCAACAAGAGCAACAGTGTGCATGAGGGCCAGGTCTTTTAAAAAATAGAATTCTGATTAATAAATGCAAAAAGAGTAATGGAATTAGAATATCACCATACCCTAATGAAGAAATAGACATAGGCAAGAATCGTCGATGGATGCTAAAACCATCAGGCAAAATGTTGACGGATAAATTTATCATTTACATATTACTATTCTCCTGTACCCACTAATCAGTCTTCATCATCATCATAAATGAGACAACCAGACATCATCTCTCATGACATGAGGCAGCAGGAAGTATATAACACCATCCAGGAAGTATCCTCTTTATTTTTCTTCCAGGAAGTATTCTTGCCTAAAACACTGGACTTGAATATGATCAGGCCTCTAGCTACAAATACCGGTGTATGGGAGATACACAGGGAAGAACTAATTAAATCACCCATAGGCAGCAATCAGTCAAAATGATTTCTATAATAGCAGTGTTCCAAGTGTGGTTCTTGGGCCAACAGTCTCAGAATCATCTAGAGACATGTCAGGAATACAGATTCTCAGGCCTCATTTCAAGGAGCCTTGAGGGTGTAGTATTCTGCATTGGGTTGCTAACAGAGAAGCCAGCAGTTCGAAACCACCAGCCTCTCCACAAGAGAAAGCTGAGGTGGTGTGTTCTCCCTGCTCCCATGGGAGCAGTTCTGCTCTGCCCTCTTGACTCGATGGCAGTTTGTGAGACCCAGACCTCCCAAATCAGGAACTCGGGGGGTGGGAGAGAGTTCAGCTGGCTGTGTTTTTTACAAGCTCTCCAGGTGGTGCTGATGCACAGTTAGGTTTGGGAACATTCAAGGTACAGGAGAGTGTCAGGAAACTCAAGAGAAATGATAAGATAAAACCAAATGCCACAGTAGATGACAGTATTGATATCCGGAACAGAACAGAACAATGACCAGAACAAAACATACTTCATTGAGTTGATGCTGACTCATAGTGACCCTATAGGAGAGGACTGTCCCAAGACTGTAACTAACTCGACTCACGCAGAAAACCCCATCTTTCTCCCACCGAGTGGCTGGTGATTTTCAACTGCTGACCTTGTGGTTAGCAGCCCAACGTGTAACCATAACTCCACCAGGGCTCCTCCTGAAACACCATTTGAAACCAGCATAAAGGTACCAGTAGGAAGGAATCGCACTGTGGTGAAAAGAAGGTGTTCTGGTGGTGCAGTGGTTATGAGTTGGACTGCGATTCACAAAGTCAGCCGTTCAAAACGACCAGCTGCTCCTCAGGAGAAAGGGAGGCAGGACTTTCTACTCTCCAGAAGAGCTGCAGTCCCAGAAACGCACAGAGGCAGTTTGACCCTGTCCTCAGGGTCACCACGAGTAGGCAGTGAGGTTCTTCTGTGGCTAAAGGAAATATGTGTGCCACAAACCATTAACTCCCACAGATGGAGGGCTTTGATTCCCATGGACACTGGGAAAGGGTCATGAATCAGGCATCACTTCTCCGCATAGCCTGTCCCTTTCTTGGCGTCCTCCTCCTGGTTCGTGCTTCCTGTCCTGCTGGTGGGGACCCTGAGCTCGTTGGGAGACAAGGTCAGCATGAGGAAGTGCGCCCACGAGGAAGCAGACATTACTTACGTTATGTTTATGACAGAAGTCTAGAGCTTGAAGGGTTTGCCATAATACACTTTTGATCACTCCATCGGCAATGCTGAGGGGAAAGAAACAAGGAAATGAAGATTCGGAGGAGCCAGGGTGAGGGTTGGAGTCGGGGGTGATGGAAAGCATCAGACATGACCGAGGAGCATGGTAGAGAGGGGGTTCTGCAAATCTCCCTTATGTAAAATTGAGTAAGACTTGCTCTGCTCTTTTTCAGTACAACGAGGTCATTTTTCTTTGACAAATCATTCCCACCTGCGAGAACAATGTGTGTTTCACAAAGTTCATGGAAAAATGGTGCTGAGAGATAATGGAAAATTTCCATAGACTTTTGGAAGCCCCCCTTCATACATGCTTATCACAAAAATGCACACAGCATACAAAAGTTCACCCTACAGGGCAGGGTAGAACTGCCCCTGTGAGCTCCCGAGTCTCTCGTTGTTTAAGGCAGTGGAAAGCCTGCCTTTCTCCCACAGAGGTGGTTTGGAACTTTGAACCTTGCATTCAGAACAAAGCCTAACTACTAAGCCCCCCGAGCCCTATCTCTATCCTCCCACCAAACATTTGTGCATGAGTGTCCCCATCTCTCCATTGTCTTACCAACATAGGGTTTCGGCACTTTTGTATTTTTGCCAATCTGCGATTAGAATACAAAGACGGCTCATTTGGGGTTTTGTGTTATGCCATCCTTTGGGTATTTCCTGTTCATCTGCTACGTGACTTTTTTAACAGTGGCCTGCTTATTATTTTCTTAATTTTTTTGAAGACTAGACATCTTACATGTTGCAAACATTTCTCTCAGCTGGTTGTCATTCAACCTGGTGTATGGGAGTAATGTCCACCCCACTCCCCTCCCACCCACCTTTAGTTTCAAAATGACACACTCTCTACTAAATGTTCACTGTCTTTCCATTTAAAAAACTAGGAATGATGGGATATGCCAACATACCACATTAGTTGGATTTAATATTTTGTCATATCAGGATAGTTAATTCACATACTTAGATTTTTTAAAAATCACTTTATTGTGAGCTAGGTCGGCAGTATATATCTATCAGAACATAATTTTTGTACTTGAACACCTTAAAACATCAAGCCTCCCAATGGCCTGGCCTGTTCCTTTCCTGCCCCACCTTTCCCCTCTTACTTTTATATATTATGTTGTTTTCCATCCAGGTTAACACTTGTTTACCCTTAGCCTGTTGCTTCTCCTCTCTTTATCCTCCTCCCTCCCCCATCCCTGGTAAACATCAGAGTCGGTTGCTTTTGGTATGAAAACCTTTATCTCGATGATGATGCTTTTTCATAACAGGGGTCTCATACAGTATTTGTCCTGTCTTTGACTAACTTCATCCAGCATCATGTCCTCCGAAATCCATCCGAGGCCAGAAGGACTATCACGGCTCTTCAGTGGTGCACAGTATTTCCTTGTGCGCATGTACAAAAGCTGATCTGTTCTTTCACCGGGGGACATTGCGCTTGTTTCCGTCTTCTTGCTATTGTGAGGCGTGCTGCGATGCACGTCTTTGGTTTCTCGGGCTGCATACCAGGCAGTGCTGTGGCCAAGTCCTGGTATTCTGTTCCTGACGCTTTGAGGAAGAGTCATCGTGCCTTTCCGTGGTGCTTGTACAGCTTCACCGTCTCAACAGCAGTATAGGAGGCTTCCGGTCTCTGCATTTGTTGTTTTCTGCTTTTTAGAACGTTGCTATCAGTTCTAGGTGTGTCCTTATTGTTTTGGCTACCCAGCTTTTAGATCGCTGTTTGAAAACTGAACTCATCGGGTCCCACAGAACAGTAGGCTGCCTGTGGAAGTTGTGGCCCTACTGACAAGACTACCTGGGAGAGTCAGGGAGGTGCTGAGAAGCAGCAATCGATACATAGACGTTATTTTCCGATCTCGGAGCAATTTCCTGATCGGAGATAGAAGTTACGGTGGCAGGCCCTCCACACCAGTGGCTTGAGGCAGCTCGTGGGCTCTGGTGGTGGTGGTGGTGTCCACCTCAAGGCCACCCCATGTGACAGAGTACAGCGGCCCCTCGAGGGCTTTCTTGGCTGAAATCATTAGAGGCAGGTCACCAGGTCTCACTTCCACAGAGCCTCGAGGTGGATTTGAACCACCAACCTTTCATTTGGCAGTCGAGTGCATCATCCCTGCACTACCAGGGCTCCCGTGTCCTTTGACCCCCCTAGCTTAACAGGGATACAATTGTCCCCCACTTTTCCAAAGTTCCCTTTATGCCACTCCCCATTTACTAAGGCCAACATTAGTACCTTCTTTTTTTTTTGCTAACCGAAAGAAACCCAAAGAGGATTTTGGCTTTTGCAGGAAAAGGTGCAGAGGGAAATGGCTCCTCGGTTTTTGCTGTGAGTAGCTGAGAGAGGTCAGGTGTGCCCCGAGCCCCAGAGTGGCCCCTTCCTTGGGACCTGCTGTCAGTGACTGGCCCCCAAGCCGCCATACTGGTGATCGGCGCCTGTGGGAGGCCTAGTGGCCTAGTGTATGCCTGGGGCTATGATCCCATGGTCTGCAGTTTGAAACCACCAGCCAGGGCTTTTCTACTTCCGTGGAGAGTTACACTTACAGCCTCAGAAGCCCCCAGGGGCAGTTCTACCTGTCCAGTAGCGTCACTGTGACCCCACATTGACTCGATGGCAGGGGGGTTGGCTTTGGTTTGGGAAAGGTGACCTTTTCTCCCCCTCTATATTCATGACAGTTGCTTGGCTTCCTGCCATTTTGGCTTTGAAAAGTTTCACAGAACACTTCTTTAGATAGCCAGGGGAACCTGTATTCACACTGGAAAGGCGCTTAGTCCTTAGGATTGAGAGCCTTCGACGTGAAAGGGACTTCCGTTTCCTGCACGGAATTCGGATAGGGCTTTCTCCTTCTCCCCACTTCTCCCCAAACGAAGACCACCTTGCTGGAAGTTTGTGCAAGAGGCCATGGGACTGGTGTGGCAATTTTGAGTGCTCTGAGGTGAAAGGCCAGGGTTTCAAATGCTGGAAGTTTGTGCAAGAGGCCAAGGGACTGGCGTGGCCATTTTGAGTGCTCTGAGGTGAAAGGCCAGGGTTTCAAATGCCAGTGTTTGGTGTTTTGCTACCACCCCCAATTTGGTTGCCCACAGCAAGTTACCTACTTAAGCTCCAGGAGCCTGCAGCCTTCCTCTGGGGGGAGCCTGGTGTTTCACCTGTCCATTTGCTCCCAGGGCTGGGAGGCTTTCAAACCCAGAAGGGGACAGGAGATGAGATGATGAGATTAGATAGAGCCAGGCAGGCAGTGGAGCCCCGAGGCCCCTGTATAAAGGCCCCAAGAACAGCTAAGGGCCCTGGGGTTTGAAAGAACTGGGAGTGGGGGAGAGGCATTTTGGAAATCAGTGTGGCTTCAGCAGACTGAAGACCTAGGTTCCAAGGCCTGGAAGCCCGGCAGATCTTGGAAAGGAGTTGGCATGGTACTCCAAGTGCCATGGAAGCCTTTGAAGGGGCTAAAGCAGAGGGCAACACTGCCATGTGGGAACTGGACTTCTGAGAGGCACCAGTGGATGTGAAACAAAACAAACACAAACTTACTGCCACATTTATAGCAACCCTACAGGGCCGGGGAGAACTACCCCGGTGAGTTTCCGAGACGGCAACTCGATGGGAATACAAAGCCTCGCCCTTCTCCCTTGGTTTCAAACTGTTAACCTGGAGGATTGTAGCCTAACTTCAAGTGGGTAGAGGGAGATTAATTAGGAGGCTGACTTAATAATCCAGGTGAGCTTCCGTGGTTTTGATGAGGGTGGGAGTAGCGTAAAGGAGCAACACGGGTATCATTCTGGGGAGGGACTAGCAAGGGCCGTCTGTGGCTCTAGTCATGACCCAATGGAGTGCTGGCAGGACTAAGGGTCAAGACCTAGCAGACTAGCCCTCCTCACATGGACTCAGGCACCCGGAAAGTTCTGCGCTGCTCTTGTGGAAGAGACGAGCCGGGTGGCATCTCACAGGAAGTCCCCTGGCCCTGTTCGAGCCAGAATCCCTAGGTGGCTCAGATCCCAAGGCTGACTCTCGCAGAGCAAACCAACACCTACAAAGGGGCTTTAAGACATTTGTGAGAAAACCCCATGACCGTTTTATAATTCTATTTTCTTTGAACTTTTGGAAGCCTTTGTATACAAAATACCACCACCACCAAATGGCCGCTGCTGGTCTTCTAAACAGAGAATGGTTCTCAAAAAGGACACAGATTCCCACGGTGCTCAATCTAGAAAGATGGCAGCCGGCAAAGTTATTCTGTCCTAGAGAGCAGTTTTAAAGGCATTGCGAGTGAAATGATTCATTTCTTGTAGAAGTCGATTGATACTCAATGCATACATGTTGCACATGGGCAAGTGCAGAAGTGTAAACACTACCAAGGAATAGGGACAGCCTTAAAACAAGTTAGCCGGGGAATGCCACCAGAGCTGTCCCAGGAGACTGCTTGGGAGTGCTCTCCGGATCATTCAGGCTGGTCTTGAGGCCGGTCTCGGTGCCCACAGTGACGGATCAGACTGTGTACTTCTCCAGCGTCCATAGATGAGGATGTGTTGTGAATCTTCACGTCTATGACCCGTGGTTAGCATCCCATGGGCGAGAAGGTTGTCTTCGTTGCTACTGCGGCAGGGTTAGTAAGGGGTGTATCTTGACTCAATCTCTTCTGAGACACAGAGATATTAAACTAGCCAGCAATCAAACTAAGATGGGGGAAGACAGGCGCCAAGACACAAGGGGGGACCCCCAAGGAACCAGGACGCTGCACCTGAAGAGAAGGATCTCTCTCCATATAATCCTGAGGACACCTCCCTCCGGAGCCCGTCCTCTGCATTTGGATCTCTTAACCTGAGAAAATCAGTGTCTCCTTTTCAGACCCATCTGTTTCCTGTACTTCTATTACAGCAGGACTAGACCACTAAGACAGACCAGTAAGATACCCACCGCCCTTCTCCGTGCAGCTGAATATGGGAAGCGTGATTTCATTATCACGTGAGGTGAAAGGAGCCTGACTCTCTATGGCCTTTCAGGCTTGTAATCACTTCAGGACTATTCGCCTCTCCTGAGGGATCTCCTACCTCATTGCCACTCCCACGACCCCCGCGCCGCCGCGCTTTCTGTTATTTCCTGTCCACACCTGGCTGGTTGACGCCTCTGTGCCTTTGCTTTCCTTCCGCTTCTTTTCCCAGACATCCTCAAATTCAAACATCCTGGGACTTTTCAGAGCTTTATCGCTCTTCTTTGATGGCGGATAGAGGTAACCAGATGGTTCCTTCCACAAGGGGACCTCCTTACTGTGGACCCAATGTCCGGAGCAGTATCTTGGGCCGAGGAGGTGCTCAACTCACATCGGTTCTCTGAAATTTTGTACACCAGCGTCCTGCAATAAATCCCGATGGATGCAGCTGCTGCTGTGGTGAGGCGCCATCAAGCAGGCTCCGGCTCCTAGAGGCTTCGTGTACACCGGAATGAACCAGCCCCCAGGCGTGCCATCTTCTTTTTCTCTAGTTCATCAAGCATGACCCCCCCCCCCTCCAGGGACTGGTCTCTCCTGATATCAAGGCCAAAATACGTGAGGAGTCCGTGGTACTCTCCACAGTCTGCCAGCACCGCCATCCAAACACATCGATGCTTCTGCGGGCTTCCTTATCAATGTCCAACTCTCACATGCATACGACGCACTTGAATGATTATTAAAAACCGAGAGAAGTATATTTTCTTTTGAAATGAACATGAGCATACAT